CCTTTACCTCTGACAATTCCCTTAAATTTTTCTATCAAATAACACTAGTTTTGTGACCCTGGGTCACACTCTGGGACCTTTATGTGCCTCCTACAGCTCCTTTAACAAACAGATTTATACATAGTAGGCCTTTAATAAACGATAATTGATATTTGGTCTCCAAGAAGAGATATGAGGTGAGGACTATGGGTATGTAATGTTACATATCAAGTCAGACATTTTCAATATCTTGGTTAGTTTTGCTACACTTCCTCTCCCCTATTTTTAAGTTCTTTGTTATAAGGATAGATCCCTGGAAGGAGGAGGGAGGGATACATTGCAAAATGTTTGTTTTTCAGTCATGTCTGAGTCTTTGTGACCCCATTTGGTGTTTTCTTGGCAAAGATACTGGAGTGATTTGCCATTTTCTTCTCTAGTTCATTTTATAGATAAGCAAACTGAGGCAAACAGGGATAAGTGACTTGCCCAGGGATAAGTGACAGCTAGTAAGTGCCTGAGGCCAGATTTGAACTTAGGAAGATGAGTGTTCCTAACTCCAAGCCTTGCACTCTAGCCACTGCTCCATCTAGCTGCCCCAAAGGCTCAACACATTGATAAATGGAAATGGAAGAAATCATGAAACCCGGCTAGGCTGGCTAACACTAATTTACCTAATCTTAAAGGCAAATATTCTGTTCCTCTGAAATAATTTTGTTATCTTGCTCTTCACAATAGCTATTCCAAACCTTCTTGTTTCTCCTCAAGCCTCCCATGGCACCCTGTCTCATAACCTTGTCAGCTAAAGGTCTGTCTCATAGATCAGTGAAAAAAAATTAAGACTATTTGCTGAGAGTTCTCCATTTTTCCATCTTCCTCATCTCACATCATTCAGACATCTTCTCCCATTGTCTCTTTCACTCTGGTTTTAGATGAAGATGTGGTTCTTCTTGCTGAGGCAAAGTCCTTTACTTGAATCTTTGGTCCTTTTCCCTCCAGAGTTTTCCAGAAAAATTTCCCTTCTCCAATCCCCCACACTTTCTCTTATTTTCAATTTCTTCCTAACTACTTCCCTTGCCTAGAAACATTCACCCGTGTTTGTTTCAGGGTATCTCCCCCATCCTTAAAAAAAAATCACTTGATTCTACCATCCCTGATAGCTATCCTATATCTCTCCATCCTTTCATTTATAAATTCCTTGAGAAAGTTACCTACCCTCCATACCAACACTTTTCTTTCTTCAAAACCCTCAATAGACTATTGATGTCATTCAACTGCTTTCTCCAGAGTTACCCGTGATCTCTTAAATGCCAAATAATGGCCTTTTCTCCATCCTCATTCCTCTTGATCTCTCTGAAGCATTTGACACTACTGATCAACCTTTCCTTCCAGAATTCCTTCTTTCTCTCCTGCTTCTCTTCCTATCTGTATGAATCCTCCTTAGACCCCTTCCCTAGTTCTTCATCCTAACTGTGAGTATCCCCCAAGGTTCTGTCCTTGGCTGTCTTCTCTTTTCACTCTATCCTATCATACTTGGTCATCTCATCATATCCCATAGGTGTAAATCTTATCTCTTGCAGATGATTCCCAGATCTATACAGTTAAATATCTCTAACTGCCTCTGGGTATCTTGAGCTAGATATCCCATAGGCATCTCAGAATTGAAAATGTACAAAACAGAATTCATTAGTGCAGTGGATAGAGCACCAGCCCTAGAGTTACGAGGACCCAAGTTTAAATCTGACCTCAAATACTTGACACTTACTAATTGTGTGACCCTGGGCAAATCACTTAACCCCAATTGCCTCAAAAAAAGAAAAGAAAAGAAAAGAACCCCCCCCAACTCATTATCTTCTCCATTTTTGAACTTCCTCATTACTGTGAAGGGTACCACCATCCTCCCAGTCATCCAAGGCCCACAACCTCGATGTCACCCTAAACTTCTCATTCTCATTCACCTCATATATCCAATCTGTTGCCTAATTCTGTGGTTTCTACCTTCACAACATCACTTGGATAAGTCCCCTTCTCTCTACTCATATAGCCTCAGCCCTAGTATATCACCCCTGGCCTAGACTATTGCAACAGACTTCTACCTGGTGTCCCTGCTTCAAATCTCTCCAGTCCAATCCATGCTCCTCTCAGGTATTAAGGTGATTTTCCTAAATTATAGGTCTGATACTGCCAACCCCCTGCCCAAGGACTCCAGTGGCTCCTCCACATTACCCCCTCATTACTCTTTCCAGAATACAGACCGCTGTCACTTTTTTCCCTCCCCCCACCTTAATAATATTTTATTTTTTCCAATTACATGTAAAGATAGTTTCCAACACTCACTTTTAAAATAAGATTTTGAATTTCAAATTTTTTTTCTCCCTCCCTCACTTCATTCTCCCCAAGACTGCAAGCAATCTGATATAGGCTATACATGTACAATCGCATTAAACATATTTCCACGTTAGTCATATTGTGAAAGAAGAATCAGAACAAAAGGGAAAAACCACAAGAAAGGGGAAAAAAAGAGAGTAAATAAGATGCTTCAAATCTGCATTCAGACTACATAGTTCTTTCTCTGGATGTGGACAGCATTTTCCATCATGAATCTTTTGGAATTGGCTTAGAATCTAATGACATAGGGTCAAAGATCATTGTATTGCTGAGAAGAGCTAAGTCTATCAACAATTCCCACTTCTTGCATTATGCAAAGGCAACTTTATGTAAGAATTTTGAAAAAAATCCTCATTCCAAAAAAACCACCAATGTTAGCTTTACTGTACAGTGCTGTGCGCTCTCTCTCTCTCTCTCTCTCTCTCTCTCTCTCTCTCTCTCTCTCTCTCTCTCTCTCTCTCTCTCTCTCTCTCTCTCTCTCTCTCTCTCTCCACCTAACCCAGCCCCCACCAAAAAACCCAAAACAAACAAAAAACAACCCAACTTTCCAAGTGAAAACAGAAGAGAAAACATACAGACACATTGCAAGATCAGGACTTGGCTTGAGACCTCCAGCCACGAGAGGAGACCTTTGCCCACTCCACTCCACCCGCCCACCCACCCACATGTGTGCCTGTGTGTCTGTCTTCTGTCCACTCGGATATTCACATATGCGTGTCTGTCCCCAGTCCCAATGTTGCTGGCCTCCTGTCTGTCTCTCTAGCACCGCCCCCTTCTTCCTCTGGGTTCTGGCCCCGCCCCAGGATGCCTCCTCTGCACCCACCCCTGTGTGTCCTTGAAGAGAGTGCGGGCCACTTCCCGCATCCCTCCCTCCCTCCCTCCCGCGCATCCACAGGCAACTTTACGTTATGTAAAGATGGCTTTACATAGAGGTCAGCTGCGCAGTCCACTTACTTAAAGGGAGAACTGTGTGCTCCAGGACCGAGAGCTCTGGCATGTAAAGCGCTTCATAAGCAGGGCCCTTTCTCCTCCCGCCCCCCACCCCCCAACTCTGATCCAGCTTCCCTGGCCCAAGCACAGTCCCTAAAATAAAGAAACTCCGTTTCTAGTCTCTGCCTTTGTACTGGCTGACCCGCCGTGTCTGCAGCCGGACACGACTGAAATGACTGACCAACAACAACAGTAACGTGGAAAGAGCAAGAGATCTGAGTCAAAACCCAGGCTTTCTGGTCAACGCCCTGGGGAGTCTTGAGCAAGTCACTTAACCGATGTTTGCCTCAGTTTCTCCACTTGTCAAATGGGCATCATAATAGCACCTTCCTCCCAGGGTTGTTGTGAGGATCAAATGACAACATTTGTAAAATGGTTAGCACAGTGCCTGGCACATAGTAGGTGCCATCTAAATGCTTATTCCCTTCACTTAAAAAACTGCACATAGTAGGTGCCTAATAATGCTTTGTTCCCTTCTCTTCCTTTTTTTATAGATGAGAAAATGAACTCAGAGAGGGAGGATGGTGTAGAGGAATTCAGGACTTGGCGTCAAAAAGTGTTCTGGTCGCAAATCCTGACTCCACCTCTTACTAACTATGTGATCTGAGTCTCTGTTTCCTCATCTATAAAATAGGGATAATGATGGCTATCCTACCTCCTTCACAACATGGTTATGAGGATCAAATGATATATATGTGTATATATAAATGCCAATTATTATTATTATAATCATTAACAATTTTAGAGGCATCATGGGACAGTGGCTACAGTGCTAGTCTCGGAGTAAGGGGTCTGAATCTTGTGTCTGACACTGAGTATAGGCAAATTATATAAACTTTCTGAAGCTCAGTTTTCTTATCTGTAAAATGGGGTTGTGAGGCTCAAATGAGAAAGTGCACGGAAAGTCCTTTGCAAACCTTAATGTGCCATATAAATATTAGCTATCATTATTATTATTACTTGCCTAAGATCACACAGAAACTAAAAACCCAAGCCTTCTGGCTTTCAGTCCAGTAACCCACAAAATGAGCCACTCTTGGCAACCTCAGCAAAGCCAGCAACCCCCAAAGAAGGAGGGGACCCTTTTTATTAACACACATCAGTGGTGTTCTCTTATACCATTCTGCTTCCAGGCAGCAGAATTACATGTCTAAGTTTATAAATATATGCTTCAATACTCTGAGGAGCTGTGATTTTTTTCCAGCATGAATGCTCCCTTCATCTATAAATACATACATATATATGTGTGTGTATGTGTGTATGTGTCTGTATGTGTGTGTATATATGTGTATACATGCATAAAACACATAGTCCAGGATCTGCCACCAATACCTTTTCTATTCCACTACAAATTTTTTTAAAAAAAGTATAATAATGCCACATTATGGGAAAAAAGAATTTAGCCATTTGGTTTTGGCATATTTGTTCTTTTTTTTTTTTAGGCAATTGTAGTTAAGTGACTTGCCCAGGGTCACACAGCTAGTAGTGTCAAGTGTTTGATCTGAGGTCAGATTTGAACTCAGGTCCTCCTGACTTCAGGGCCGGTGCTCTATCCACTGTACCACCTAGCTGCCCCCATATTTGTTCTTTTTCTCCCATTAATGGGACATCAAAAATTGTGTCAATGGTTTTTATTTGTTTTTCAGAATAGCATTCCCTGTCTTGCCCAAGCTTTGATTTGATCCTACTCCTGATCAGTACTAGGGCCTAGACCTGCTCAGTTTTGGAACTGGATGGATTCTCTCCTTCAGCAGTCTGGTAGGCCCCCACTCTTAGAGTCTCACTTGGATGTACTGGCAAGTGTTTAGCAACCGGCTCTCCAAACCCCCAAACTCCAAATTTTTAAATTTGATCTGCATTATTATCATTTCCTCCATCACTTTAAGTCTTGACAAACAACAAAACCATAAATTAAGCCCTAATTTTTTGCATTTGCTGATTTCTGAGATGTTAAAGTTTACCCTGAAAATTAAACAATAAGTTTTGGTTCCAGCAAACCCTGTTGGTACCAGATGGATGTTTGGATATCTATTAGCTTTAGTCTACTACAGTTCAGAACTTGAACGCCACCTGCCTCATTCTCCTGTGTGCTACCATGTCCAGGAAAGATTTATTGACAAAGAGCATAGGCTAATAGACATAAAAAAGTGATTTCTTATTTTTTGAGAAATTCTTGATTCTTCTTGAATGCGTTTAATTTCATCAAAATGAGACAAAGGGAAACCAGAAGCACAACAACCCCCACTTTTGCTTTCCCTTCCTTTGGTAAGAGGCATGGATGGAGGCCTTCTTTACTAATTATTCTGGAACAGGGCCATCCTTCAGACATAGTCCACCTTTCCTCTTTCTGTACCTTGTTCGTGCTGTTTCATTATCCTCTACTCTTGCCCCCGATCTCCCTAAGACTCCTGGCAACTTGAGCGATCCTGGGTCTTTTTATTAGTTACCTGAATACTCCACCTGAAAAAGAATGGACAGAACAGGAAGGATTTGGGCCCTAGTCCAAAAAGGACTATTAATGAATTCAAGTCAATTCAGTATTTATTAATCACCTACTGTGTGCAGAGCCCTGTACTGGGGGCTGGGGATTGGGGCTGTTAAGAAGTTTAGGTAAGGGGCAGCTAGGTGGCACAGAGTATTCACTCCAGTGTCAGGAGGACCTGAGTTCAAATCCTGCCTCAGACACTTACTAGCTGTGTGACCTGGGCAGGTCACTTAACTTTGATTGCCTTCAAAAACAAACAAACCAAGAAGGAAAAAAAAAAGTTTAGCTAAGACACAGACCCTGCCCTAAAGGAGAACAGGTCTAAGGATAAGAAATGGACATAGAAAACTAGAGCACACAATAATACATTGCATTATTATAACTAATTTGCATCAGAGATGTGCAAAACAGAAATCTGATTCCCTCCCCCTCACCAAAGCCATGTATTCCCAGCCAAGCTCCATCCTCTTTCGGCCACATTTTTCACTAGGAATGTCCCTCCCCTCAGGAATGTGGACTCTTCGTTAGGTCCCTGTGAGTGCAAAAGCATCGGAGGGCAGTGTCAACTTTAGAGGAATTTCTTTCAGAAAGAGGAGGAGGGACTGAGGAAGGCTGATGGAGCCGGGTCCCACTGGGGAGCTGGCTGCTCTCCTATGGATAAACAGCTTCACCAGAGGCTGTGCTCGCTACATCTGCTCCGTGTTTGTCTTGGACGCGGCTGACCACGAGGTCTTGGGGTTACTTTCTCCCGAGGGCTCATGAGCCAGTCCCGAGGAGCCCTAGTCCCGCTGCACGCTGCCGGCAGCCTCCTGCTGCCCTGGGATTTCCGGAATTTGGTGGAGAAGGAAAGGCCCCGGCGCGGAGAGCGGGCTCCCCCGCCCCTCATCCCCAACCTCCGTGGACCCCAACTCACTACTGCAAACAAAGAGGTCAGCCGGGCTCCCCGGAGCTGCCGGGCTTCTGCGCCAGGCTAAAGGCGCCATGCCTCCTGATGGAAACCACATGTGCGCCTGGAAGCTTCCGACAGCTCGCCCCCAGACACCAGAAACAGGCTCTTGCTTTTTCAGTTCTCTCCTAGTTTCCAGACTTAGGTGCCTCCAAGGAACCAAGGCCACTAGCATACAAGTAGAAAGAGCAGTTTTTGTTTCTTGAGGTTTGATGAAAGATTTATTTGTTCCAATAGGTAAAGGGGGGGAGGGGTAGAAAAAATAAATGTCCCCAATATAGAATATTGTATCAAAAGCCACTGCTTCCAAGGATGCAGGCTGAGCTGCGGGTAGCCAAGGCTCTTCTCCATCTCTTCACTACCGAGATTCATTCAAATAGGAAGGAACAAGTATTGATTAAGCGCCTACTGAATGCCAGGCACTGTGTTAAGCACTTTCCAAATATAATCTTTAATCCTCAAAACAATCCTTTTTATAGTTGAGGAAACTGAGGCAGACAGAGATTAAGGGTCACACAGGCAGAGACTTGAGCTCAGATATTCCTGACTTTAGGTTCAGCTCTCATATGATGCAAGAGGGCATATTAAGGAAAGAGCTAGATTAGATAATGGGTACAGGGAATGAACTTGATGAGACCTTTAGCCTGGACACCTATAGGCTTAGCCCTACAGAACTTCTGAGCTCAGGAGATCCACCAGCCATAGCTTCCCAGAAGAAGAGATTACAGGTCAAGAATGGGTCAAGAATGTTAAAGAGATAAGAGTCACACACAAATCCTTGGCTTAATCTACTGGAAACCCCCTTCCAAGATGGCCATTGGTCCCTTGGTGACTGTTCTTTTGGTTCAACCACTCAACCTGTTTTGAATCTACCTCATTGTACTATTGTCTGCAGGGGTGAATCGAGGCCACATCTGGCCTTCTAGGGTGTTGGGTGCAGCCTCTAGACTGAGTTCAAAGTTTTACAGAACAAACACAGATTTGTTCTGTGAAGTTTGGATTCAGTCAAAGGGCTGAACTTGAGGACCTAGGAGGCCACATGTGTCTTCCTAGGGCCCAGGTTCCCCAGCCCTGGATCCCATATCTATAATCCACAGCCATAGCGTGAGAAACTTTATCAAAATTTTCTCTGAAATCCAGGTTTAATACTTATACACCATTTCTCTGATCTGAGAGTTTAACACTTGTCAAAGGGAGGTATAGTCAGTTTGACATGCCCTGTTTGTTTTTAAAATACATCTTGTTAATGCCTTTTTTAAAAAAAAATCAGTCATTTCTAGATGTATGAGAAGGCAGATGGCAGCCCAGTGGATATAGTGCTGGCTCTGGAGTCAGGAAGAACTGAGTTCAGATTTGGCCTCAGATACTTATTTGCTGTGTGACCCTGGGAAAGTCACTCCACCTCTGTTTGTCTCAGTTTTCTCAACTATCAAATGGGGATTATAATATTTTAATTATATATACATAAGATAATATATTATAATTATATATAAATATACAGATTTATATTATATATAAAAATATATTATAATTATAATATCACCTACCTTGCAAGGTTGTTGTGAGAATCTAATGAGATGATATTTGTAAAAAGCATTTAGTATAGTGCCTGGAACATAGTAGTCACCATATAAATGCTTGTTCCCTTCCTTTCTCTTCCCCATCGTGCTCCAGAATTGAAGCCTCTCTGGTAATGAAGATGAACAATTAAGCAAAAGATGACTAAACCCATTGATTATATCTGGCAGTGCATGCAATGTTTTGCCCAGAGGAGGGAGACAGAGAGAGCTGGTATGCTTTGATTTTTATCTGTGTTGGGGAAAAACAAACGGTCAAGGAAGGGCCAGGACTGCTTCTAGTTGGATAAGAAGATGATGTCTCATTGTCTATTCCCTGGGACCATTATTAGTTTTTCAGTTACTCAGAGTTTCATTCAATATTCATTTACCTAGTTGTAGTCACTGTATATGTTGTTCTTCTAGTTCTATTTATTTCACTCTGCATCAGTTCAAACCTGGCTATATTTCTCTGACATCCTCATACATGTCATTTCTTGTGGTACAATAATATTCCATTATGTTCATACAACACAGTTTGTTCAGCCATTCCCCAGTTTGCAGTTTTTGGCAACTCCAAAAAGTATTGCTGTGACTATCTTGATGTACATCAGGCCTTTTTTCTTCTTCCTTGTATAATTTGATCTTTCTCTGGGGGAGGGGGATTTTATTTTTAAAACTCTAAATGTACCCAACACCAAATAAAATGAGCATTTTGGTATAGAAAACACAAAGAGAATGATATATAAAACTGTGAACCTCCATTATGTACAGCTTGCTTTTCCTTATATAACAAACTTATCATGTGACTTTCAAAGTTATTTTGCTTGTTTGTATGATCTGATCTTGGCTCTTTTTTTCTTTTTTTAAAGTGAGGCAATTGTGGTTAAGTAATTTTCCCAGAATCACACAGCTAGTAAGTATACGTATCTGAGGCTGGATTTGAACTCAGGTCCTTCTGACTCCAGGGCTGGTGCTCTATCCACTGCACTACCTAACTGCCCCTATCTTGGCTTTTTGTGATCACTGTTTCCTTTTCTAGATGTTCACTAAAAATCCCTGTACATAATAGATTCTAGATTTTTTTCCTAGGAATCAAAAGTCAAGTTTAGTGGCCAGTGGTCTGCAGACTCCAATCTCTTGGGACATTTACCCTTCTCTAATTAAATCATGACTCAGCAACCATATCTTCCAATCCTTTCAGTACACTAGATCATAATCCATCTGGGCTATGTAACTTGGACTTATCAAAGGGCAGCTAGGTGGTCTTTTACTCCTTATCAGGGATATCAACCATGTATGCAAAGATCCTTCTCTTTGGGGAGAAAACAGAAGGTAAATAAGAGTTGAGATGCTTTATCTTCTCTCTGTCATCTGTTATCATCATCTTATCTACCTTGAAGCACTCCTAGCTCTTCTTTGATCTTTTGTTTTTTCCCCAACACATATAAAAACAAAGCATGCGTACTAGTGTGAGGGAGTGCTTTCCTTGCCCCCCTTGTCTCTGTCTCTGTCTCTGTCTCTGTCTCTCTGTCTCTCTGTCTCTCTCTCTCTCTCTCTCTCTCTCTCTCTCTCTCTCTCTCTCTCTCTGTGTCTCCGTCTCTGTCTGTCTGTTGGTCTGTTGCTTTAACATGCTTTAAACACTAACATCTTATTCTGAGCTTTAACACTTTTGACACTTTTCCGACAGGCCCTATTTTTGATTTTATCTCCCACTATTTTATTTTCCTTTTCTCTGTGTTTTTTAAACTAAATTGATTTGTGGGTTCCC